TGACGGTGTCTCCCAGTCGCAACAAAGCGAGAGAGGACGCTGAGGGGAAAGGCGAGGTTCGACCGAGTACAAGTCATCAGGTACATGAGGCAGCCCGCAAGCTATGCGTAGGGGGCACTAGACTCAAAGGGCTCGTCGGGAAAAGGGCTAGTGAGTCGGTTTTCAACGGCAAGAGGAGTGGGCTGTGTGGTGGAGAACTGAAACCCGAACCGCCGAAGGACCTGCTGCACCATGTCTGACTGAGTCAGTGTGATGGTGCGAGCAGCTTCGTCCCTGGTGATTTGCAGGACAAGGTAGCACTGCAGTTCACCGAGGTCAGTGCACTTGTGTCTCTTCTGCAGTTCGAATTTCACCTCAGTCAGAGCTGCCCTGTCTGCTGTAGCAAAGACCAAGTCGTCGACGTACACTAGTATAAAGAAAGGAGTGGAACTTGTGCGAACAAACAGCGACGGGTCGGCAGAGGAAGGACGAAACCCAAGGTCACGAAACGTGGAGCGAAGAGTGTCGTGCCACTCACGGGGCAACTGGCGGAGACCGTAGACTGGCCGCCTCAGGCTCCACTGGGTCCCAGCTGGGAAGGTGTCAGTGAAGCCAGGAGGACGGCGCAGCCAGATCTCCTCGTGTAGATGGCCCTGGAGAAATGCAGTGGAGAAGTCAAGGGAGTGCAGCTCGTAGTCTCGCTGTGTTGCACGTGCAGTAACACCCGATGAGTAGTCATCTTCGGGGTCGGGGCGAAGGTCTGGAAGAAGTCAACTCCCTCACGCTGACTGAAACCCCTAGCTACGTAGCGCGCCTTGAACACAGGCGGTGAACCAGGCGGTCGCTTTACATTGAAGAGCCACATGCCATCGACAATGTTCGCCCTAAGAGGGGGAACTGCGTCGATGTACGTGCCTGTGGATCTCAAAGACGCTAGCTCTGCATCCATGGCCGCTTTCCACTGAGACGCCCACTCCCCTGACACTGCCTCACGGTACGAGCGAGGTATCGGTATGTCAAGGGCGTGGGGGTCTCCCTCAAGAGAAAGCAGCATGGCGCAGAGAGAGGGGGAAGCGGCTGCTAAGAACTCCAGCTCAAAGTGCCTGTCCTCTAGGACGTCACAGCCAAGGGCAGACTCACCCCCGTCGGACAGAGGACGGGGAGGTGGAGCAGCCACCAAACGCGTGGCGTAGTCAAGACGGCGGGTGGAAGCAAAGTCAGCGACAGCAGCAGTAAGAGCCGAGACAGAAGACGGAGAGGATCGAGGGTCCGTGACAAGAGAGGCGAGAACACGAGAGACAACAGGGCGAGTAGTACGGTAGTTGTCAGTGATAGGGTGAGAGGAAACGGTGAGAGACGACGCAGGAGGTGAGGGGAGAATAGACACAGGCGGAGAACGACGAGGAGGAGAACGAAACAAGACGGCGCGGAGGTCGGCAAGAGGAGACGAGGGCCGGAGCACGTGGAGGACAACGACTGGTCCAGTCGTGCCGGACAACAGGAGGAGGCGACGGTGACTGAGGAGGAGAGAAAACAGCAGGAGTCGAGTTCGGAGGAGGAAACGTAGGACCGTACACGATATGATACTGTGAGTGAACAGGAGGAGAGGAAGGAAGACCAAGGGCCCAAAGGCCACTCACCGGAGGGAACAGCTGCTGCAAAAGTGACGGTTGCTGCTACTGCTGCTGCTGCTGGTCCAACCGCTGCAACTCCTGCCTCTCCCACGCCAACTGCTCCTGCTCCTCGCGCTCAAGCCTGCGAAGGGCCTGGAAACGGGTGTCGTGGCGGTGGGGAGGCGCAGTGGGCGACGCAGTAGGGGAGAGTCGTTCGAGGGGTTGGCGTAGCGAAGAGACACCTAGCTAACAACGAACACCAGGACTAGCCTAAATAGCTACGTGGAGCGGCCTCCAGCCGCGACGGTGCGAAACACTGTGAGTATGAGTGACGCGAGTGTTGAACCAACGGAGGTCGGGTGGTCCTGGGTGGTGTGCGCGCGTGATGAGGGGCTGTGAGCGATTGGAAGGGGTTGTGAGCGATTGAAAGGGGTTGTGAGCCGTTGGAAGGGGCTGTGAGCGGTTGGAAGGGGCTGTGAGCGGTTGAAAGGGGCTGTGAGCGGTTGGAAGGGGCTGTGAGCGGTTGAAAGGGGCTGTGGGCGGGTGGGAGGGGCTAGCTGGCGGCTAGCTGCTGGCGGCTATCTGATGCTGGCGGCTAGCTACTGCTGGCGACTAGCTGCTGATGGCGGCTATTTGCTGGCGGCTAGCTGCTGCTGGCGGTGAGCTGCTGGTGGCTAGCTGCTGCTGGCGGTGAGCTGCTGGCGGCTAGCTGCTGCCTAGCCGTGCTGCTGCAGTAGCACGCGCTGCTGCGTAGCCGTGCTGCTGCAATGCGAGCGCTGCTGCTGCAATGCGCGTGTAGCAGTGGCGTGCGCGACTGCCGCTGGCTAACGCGCGCGCTGCTGCTGCTGGTGCGTGTGTGCCTGTTGCTTGCACGCGCGGCTGTTGCGGGCTAAGCACGACTACGCGGGGCCGCGGGGGGGGGGGGGGGGGGGGGGGGGGGGGTCCCTTATGGAGCGCGACGAAACGAGGGGCCAGCGGGGCCCTTTAAATGCGACGAAAAACGAGGCCTGCGGGGGACTTTGAACGCGACGAAAACGAGGCCTGCGGGTGCCGTCCTACCCGCAACGAACCGGAGCCTAAGGGATGGGCGCCTCAGGACCGGCTAAGGGAGGGAGCGGAAGCGTGGGAAGGAGAAAATCTACTTACTCTAGTATCATCTTAAAAGGGGCTAGGAAGTGAGTATCGAGAAGATTGGTGAGTGAATAAGAACAAGGAGATACAAGTGTCGACCCTTTAGAGGGCAACTCACTCTAGCCTATCTAACAATAAATAGAAGATATAAACATTTGACACGCACGGTTGGATTTCGCTGTAATAAGGAAATGTACCCTGTAGAGTACATGGTTAGCTAGGTCGATTCGTATTCCACCCTGTACTCTTATTTATACCTTTGTATTTGCATGTTTTAATTCATCTCAAGCATTTTACATTCACTCTGCTATTGAGGTCAAGGGCCCACTACCACTACTCAAATCGTGTGCGAACCTTCCTGATCGCAGCAGTGTGCAAAATGGAACTGAGACTATGCGGGAGTGGTGAGAGTATCTCAATCCCGAGGATACGAGGGTGTGTTTTAGGACAAGATTATATAACTGAGCAATAATCACATTTGGTGCCGTACCATTGTTATACTAAAATACTCATTCCAACAGAAACTGCTGGTGTTGAGCGATTTTCGCCAACCACTAGAAGTTACTCCTTGGCAGTCTGTTTGACGTCCGTTGACCGTCTGGGCGACGAGTGGGCTTCTAAAAATGGTGAAAATGTTAAACGGCTGATTCGAGAACGGCGTACGACAGGTTCTGTCGAAACGTCATGCAAGCAGGTACAGTAACCCTTATACAGTTCGTACCGTCCATCGTCCAGCCTAAACCCATCCCTTGGCGTGTGGCTGCAAAACAGGAGCTTAGGTTTCAAGTGTCCCACCGACGAATGTGACCTTCGACGTAGCATCTTCGTAAGTGCGAAGTAAGCTCTTGATTATTCTCACACCGACACCTCCTTCGATCTCTCCAACCTTGACACACGACACGGGGTCGTTTCTGTTTGATATTTCCGAGGCGATCCGTCCCGTGTTGTGTCGATTGGGTGCTGTAAGAAGAATAGATGGAGTTTCGCCGACCATTGGAGGTGCAGTCCTGGCGAGATCCGCACAGCCCACATTTCAAATGTTTAGACCTCGCGGATTTACACTTTGCCTGCCTAGTCAACAAGCCCTTGTCTAATGTAATGCGTTTTTGCCTTGTTGGGGCTTAGTGTATGTGACTGCCAAATAGACTTCGGTCGAATTCGCTTGGAGTCTTTTAAAACTCACACTCTTTACGTCAGCTTGCCCAGGGAAACCTCGCTCTTCATTTTGAAGGCTTGCAGGAGAGCAGAATGTTCCTGGTCGTGACGCGACCTGAAAGGAATGTGTGCCTGGAAACCTGATCCACCACGATCAATCGAGGAAGCCCTCTCATGGAGTGACACGTGCCCAACGAAGGTCGTGAAAAGAACGTCTTTCAGCGACGTGAGCGACAGGTAATATCATTCCTTGTCACCATTTCGGATGCGTAGCGAACCACCAGCAGCATGTAAATCCTCCAACAGCTCTGCTCCCCTCCCCTCCCCTGCCATACACGTACCACCTGTCGTAAAATGCACGGGGGCAGTGGAATGGGGTCAGGGGAGGCATCATTCAGGGGGAAAGAGAGCGCGATAGGACAGGAAGCAGAGTTGGTTGGTACTCGCTGCGCAATCGAATGAATTGCTGCTGGTCGGATCGGAAGTACTTCCTCAGTACGCACCGGACCCAGCTGATGTCGTCGTGAATTTTGATGCAAACGGCTCCCAGACGGGGCTCTAGGAATGGGAGGCGAGGGGACGATGAGAGACGGGAAATGTCGGTGGAGGTACATGATGGTCGAATTTCTCACATGGCTGACGGGATGCTGGTGAAGAAGGGAGAGGAAGGAATTTTGACCTGCAGCCTAGCAATCCGTGATGGGTTGACCTACGCCGCCGCCGCATTGGCGCCAAATATTTGATCCGTGGTCAAAACCTAGTATCGCGTGATTCTCTCAGATTTATTTAGGCCACCACCGGTTCGTCGCGTTTTCAAGACAGTGCAGAAAGCGACAGCGTTCTCCGCAAAACTCGCCATAATCGTAGGATTGCACTGCACCTCAGCACAGCGCGACTCGGAATAGCGATTAATCACTTATCACTCGGGTGATGTTTTTTTTTTTTTTTTTTTTTTTTTTTTTTTTTGCGCCTAAAGAACCGTTGTTGTAAGCGGCCAGCAAAGCGGCAGCGGGAATAAGCAGCATAAGTAATCAACAAATGTGGACCTTGAACAGTAAGCAGCCAGCAAAGCGCTTCTCCCTTCTCCATGGCGCCTCGACATCGGAGATTAAGGCCTACGTGATGGACCTATTTTACGAGCTTGAAACCACTCGGCTCGCTGGCTTCCCGCTCTCCGCCGGTGGGTGGCGGCGCCGGACTGCAGGCGCGCTCCGGCTGCAGGACTGCTATAAGATTGGTCGTGAGCTGGGCCGCGGACATTTCGGCGTCGTGCGCGAGTGCGCGGATGCGCGCACGGGGGAGCTGTTCGCGTGCAAGACCATTCTCAAGGACAAAATTCAGCGACCCGAGGATCTCAAGGAGCTCCGCGCGGAGGTGCTCGTTCCGCTGCTGCTGCAGGCGGAAACGCCGTCGGCTGCGGAGGAGAAGGGGTTACCTGGTGCGCGGCGTGCGCCTATTGCGGCGGGCATCGTGCGCCTATTCGAGATTGCGGAGGACGAGTCCGCGCTGCACCTCATCGTGGAGCACTGCGCGGGAGGGGACCTCTTCGACCACGTCGCGCGGAACAAGCGCCTGACGGAGCGCGAAGCCGCGGAGATCTTTCGCCAGATAGTCTCCGCCGTACTGCGCATGCACACGCGCGGCATCGTTCACCGCGACCTTAAGCCCGAAAACATTCTCCTTCTCCGCACGCCCTCCGCCAGCTGCGCCTCAGCCACTCTAGCCAGCGCAGCTGCCGACGCGCGCGCCGACGCGACTTCCGCTGAATGTTGCGCGGAGGTGCGCGTGGGGGACTTCGGGTTGGCGCAGCAGCTGACGCGCGCGCGGCCGCGGTTGCGCGGACTGGCGGGGAGCCCGTTTTACATGGCGCCAGAAATTGTGCGCGGAAAGGAATACGGCGCGGAGGTTGACGTTTGGAGCCTGGGTGTTGTTTTGTACACCTGCCTGTCCGGCGTTCTTCCGTTTTACGGTCAAAATCACAACGCGGTTTTCGCTGCTGCATGTCGAGGGGATCCCGATATGAGCAAGCATCCATGGTCGCTGATTTCAACGGAAGCGAAGCACCTTGTGAGGAGTATGCTTCAGGCGGATCCAACTCGGCGAATTCGCCTACATGAAGTACTGTACCGTCGGTGGCTGACGACAGCTGGCTCCCACCAGGGCGTTTACCGACACCTTCAAAGACGAGTCGGAGTCCTCCCGAATTTTTCAGCCGCGCCAAAGTCAGCCCCAATTCCCATCCCTAGACCAAGACCAACCACTTGCCAAAAACCTGTTACGGAAGATGCTTTTCTTGCAAACCTAAGAAAATCCAGTGACAGTAACCTCCCGGGTCATGCCCCCAACTTGGCAAGGTGTTTCCAGCCTTCCCCCTCTACAAGCCCTGATCCTGTTACAGTCACCCCTGCTTTTTCCTCTGGTCCTATCTTCAGCGGCGCAATCACGCGTCCCTCCTCAGGGTCTTCTAGCTCTACTCGCTGCATCTTTGCCCTCTCTACAAGCATTTCCAGCGACAAGAGCACCAGCAGCAGCTCTTTCAACTGTAGCAAAACGAGTAACCCTACTACAACAGACCTGCCTATTTCCACACTCCCAACGGTTCCCAAGAAATCTCAAGAGCCTTCTGTGCCTTCTGCCCCCCCCTCCCCTTCTTCCCCACTCTCTATCAACAACTCCCTTCCTCCCTCGGCCCCTTCCTCTCCGCCTCCCTCTTTCACTCTCTCACTACCAGCCCATCTTCCTCAACCTCTTTCCCTTTCTGCCACACCTACTGTCACATCCCTTAGTGTCACACCCACAGCACAGGAATCCAAGGTACCCATTCTGGTCTGCAGCAGCCAGCAGCCTCGTCCAGCCCCAGGAAACGCCGGCGCGACAGCAGGGAGCAGCTTCAGTGCCAGCAGTACCAGCAGCTTTATCACGTGGAGCAGTTGCAGCAACACTTGCATGCAAAACAGCAGAAGCGGCAACAGCAACAGCAGCAGCAGCACTGGTACTGGAGGCACTTTGAGAGCTTGTGATGGAATTCCTTCAACTTACCATATCCTCCAGTCAGTCGTTATTGCGACACATCAGCAGCAGGTCGTAGAAAGTTGTGGAGGAGGGTTGGGCCTTCTTAATGGCAGGTAACATTCAGAGGCAGCAACTGTTAGCAGGCTGACTGGTTGGTAGCAGGCCCTACGATATCAGGAATTTTTCCCTGAAATTCCTGATTTTCAGGGATTTTTTTGTACCTACACTGATTTTTCAGTGTTGAGAATTTTGTGACACTGATTTTTCAGCCTTTATTTCATAGTTGACACTGATTTTTCAGTCTTTTATCGAAGTGTACACTGAATGCACATTCCGAATCCTTCCTGTCAACCAACATTTTCTGATTTCTCACGTACGAGAAGGTAAAAGATTAAAGGTTTAGTGGATCAACTGTCTCAGTGGTTTGTGATTTTCTACAGACGGGTAAGGGCCCGGTTCGAATATCTCCGCTGTCATGTTTCGTAAAGCCTACACTTGTATACAAGGTTTTCATTTGCTTGAAAATTCAGGCTTTGTTTTTTAGGAACCCTGAAAATTCAGGGTTTTTTTTTTAGGAACACTGAAAATCAGGGTTTTGTTCACAGGGACCCTGATGCATCAACGTCCCTTAAAGTGAATCTGAGGGCCTGGTTGGTAGTTATGCTATGATATTGTATAGTTGCACCAAGTTCTGTATAAAAACCGTACACCACCTCCCGACCAAATAGCACATGGAGAGCTGCTGAAAACCCTACAAGAAAATCAGCCATTTGACAAATGATAAATTAAGCAAAAGGGTTGGCTTGGGAGTACAATATGATAAACAATTTATCAAGTAAACGTGTTCACAGCACACGAAACACTTAACACCCGTAAACAACACCAAACGAATGTGATCGGAGCTTGTTTCTTCCACGTGTAGCTCAAAGCGAACTCCTGGGATTGAGGATCTGCTTGCACAGTAATCGTTATGTCGCGGCGCCACGCTGGCAATCTGTCAGGCGCTCGGCTATTCCCGCGCAAGTGGTAATTCTGTCGGCGCCAGCAGGGGCAAGCAACAGCTATCGAGCCCATCAAAGGGCTCCTGCCACGGAGCCAGCTAACCACAAATTACTTCCCGATGCGGCTTGGCATTGGCTCCTGCCACGCTGATCCCATTGCGGGCATTTGAATAGATCCCCAAACGTAAAACCCAGAGTATTCCTGAAAAGGACAATACTGTACTTCCTTGATGTGATTCAAGCGTGTCATTTTTTCGACGTGGCCACAACCGTTTAGAAACACTCATCTCTAGGAGTACCTCCTGCCGCTACGGGAACTTCCCGAAATTGTCCCTCTTTTCTGGGCGTTCAGCCGACGTACATCACGCATGCCACAGATTCACCGCACCAAGCCCCGTGGCAGCTGTTCATATTCCGCTCCCTTCTCCATCGATCAAACCTCGAGCCTTCACCAACCCCAAGAGCCTCGCTTTCGCTTTCCAACACCCAATGGTTAGCTTTCGCTTTCGCTTCCTATTTACCCCTGACGATTCTTTCGCGCGAATCGGCGAGACTGATTACGACAGTTTCGGATTCGACTTATGTAACAGCAGGAATGTTCCAACAACCACAAATTTCTGATTGGATGTGACACACCCCCAGCATCCCAAGGGTCTCAGTTCTGCTTCATAAAATTCCTCGAGCACTCTAATCAACCATCTTTCATTATCTGAAGTCTCGAAGCAGCCTCAACCCTCCTTGTTCATCCAGTTCCGTCGCCGAAGCCAGTTTCGCAGCGGTCTAGAGTCCCCAGCTGCTTAAAGAAACTGCGTTGGCCGTAACTATCGCGTGCGCGGAACATGGATCCGGTGAAGGCATGGGGCAACACCCCGTTGGCTCAGGTGGACCCGGAAATGTTCCAACTGATCGAGAAGGAGAAGAAGCGCCAGTGGCGCGGCATCGAGCTCATCGCGTCCGAGAATTTCACCTCGCAGGCCGTGCTCGAGGCGCTGGGCAGCCCGCTGACGAATAAATACTCCGAAGGCATGCCCGGAGCGAGATACTACGGCGGGAATGAATACATTGACGAGATCGAGAATCTTTGCCGGAACCGCGCGCTCGAAGCGTTCCATCTCGACCCCGCGAAATGGGGAGTCAACGTGCAGCCGTATTCGGGCAGCCCGGCAAATTTCGCGGCGTACACGGCGATTCTGCAACCTCACGATCGCGTGATGGGCCTGGATCTCCCCTCTGGCGGTCACCTGACGCACGGTTATTATATGGCAAACGGAAAGCGTATATCGGGGACGTCGATCTACTTCGAATCTCTGCCGTACAAGGTCGACCCCGAGACGGGCATCGTGGATTACGCGAAGCTTGAAGAGAAAGCCATTGATTTTCGACCGAAGATGATCATTTGCGGCGGGAGCGCGTACCCTCGCGAGTGGGATTACGCGCGATTCCGTGCGATTGCGGACAAAGTCGGTGCGACGCTCCTGTGCGACATGGCGCATATCAGTGGACTTGTGGCATCGCAGGTACGATTTCGTTCTTGAGTGAAGTTCGCGAATCCGCGCTGTCTTCTTTCATCTGTTCTTTTATAACATAATTGATGGCCACTTTATATGCAGTCTCACGTGAAGTGAACGGAACACTTTTATAACATAATTGATGGCCACTTTATATGCAGTCGGAGATAATAAAACCTGATAATAAATCTGTTCTCCTACGTTTTCAGGAGAATGATTAACCTTTTTTCCCGCATCTACACCCGCTTCCTCCACCCATGGCCCCCGAACGTTCTCATCTGCGCAGGAAGCTGCGAACCCCTTCGACTACTGCGATCTCGTCACAACAACCACGCACAAGAGCCTGCGCGGCCCGCGCGCGGGGATGATCTTCTTCCGCCGCGGCCCCAAGGCCGCTCCGCAAGCCAATGGCGCGGCGTCCCCGGCGGGGAAAGCGGCCGCGTCGCCGAGCAAGGCGGGCGCGAAGGCGGCGGCGGCGGACGACGGGATGTACCACTTCGAGGATCGCGTCAACTTCGCGGTGTTCCCGACGCTCCAAGGCGGCCCGCACAACCATCAGATCGGCGCGCTTGCCGTGGCGCTGAAGCAGGCGTCCACTCCCGCGTTCAAGGCTTACGCGCAGCAGGTACGATCAGATCAATCTTCGACCTCCTTGTATCCTCATGCTGTAGGGTGTGTGCCCTATTCTGCAAGACGCGCCACGCACCCAATACTTTTCTTGGGGTCGACTCCAAGGTCGATCCGAGTTCACTTTAAATCCGGGACTCCATTTTTGAAACCCGTAAACTGCACCCTAACTTGAAGCCTGAAGCCTTAGACCCTGCAGTCAGGTCTCTCCGAGAGCTACAAGAAATCCCCCGCATGGGCATTTGAGGTGCTGTGGTATACATTTGAAAGGAGGGGTTCAAAATCCTTAGGAACTTGAAAAGTTGCCCCAAGACTATGAGGCACGCTACACAAACCCTAAACCCCGCTAACAAATGTATACTGGAGCTTTAAGTGAAGTGGCTCTTGAGTCTATTCAGAAGTGTTTTTAAGCTGGGCAGGCCTGTGTCTCGGCTTCCCGTCACCCATTCAATTTCACATTGCTTTGAGCGTTTGCTAAATCCTGAACCCCGCTGGATTTTCCAGCCATACCTGCTAGCTTGCTAAAGCCTGAACCCGGACATTCTAAAAGGCCCTGGCGTTCCAATTTTCCCATTTTACGTTAGCCCAATCGTTGATATGGGGCCCCACTCCCGCCTTCCCCATCTGCCTCTTCATCTTTTTTTTTTTTCCTTGTTTTCGTCTCCCCTGTTACTCTTCTCTGATTGGTCCAGGTGAAGGCCAATGCCCGTGTGCTGGGCGAGGCACTAGTAGCGAAGGGTTACAAGCTGGTTACCGGTGGCACAGACAACCACCTGCTGCTGTGGGACCTTCGGCCATTGGGTCTCACTGGTATGTACCGCCCTGTTGCGTCACATACTGTGTTGTAACGTTCTGTTTTGTCACACTCTGCTGTGCTGTGTCAGCCACACTCGTTACTCGGTACATCCGAGGCCCGCTGTTTCCCAGTTATTTTTTCTCCGTATAAAATTGTGAAATTTCTTCACCTCTCCCGTGTCGCTATCTGTCATGTGGCTGTCATTCTGAAATTGTATCCCTAACCCCCAACCAACCGTGGGTGTGTCCACGTGGCAGGCAACAAGATGGAGAAGGTGTGTGACATCGCCCACATCACACTCAACAAGAATTCCGTCTTTGGTGACAGCAACGCCTTGGCACCTGGTGGCGTCAGAATAGGTGCGTATTTTTTGGGTTCGTTTTGCTATTATCTAAGTAGTGAGCGAGCCTATACGGAATTCGGAGACAGCAACACACTGGCATCTGGTGGCGTCAGAATAGGTGCATACCTTGGGCTCGCTGTGCTATTATCTGATAGTGAGTGAGTCTATGAGGAGTACTTTGTGAGAGAAATCGGAGACAGCAACGCGTTGGCACCTGGTGACGTCAGATTTGGGGTGTAGCTTTAAGTTATTTGTGCCTAATCCTGATGTTTGCCTTACTGTGTAGTTTACATTCCCCACCCAACCACACCCTCACCTGGCACATGCACCCCACCCACCCCACACCCCACAATCCACACCTCACACCCCACACCCCAGAATCCACACTCACCATAGATCATTAACATCTGCCTTAACCTCTTGAGGCCTACTTGAAATAGAAAGCTTCTAAGTTATCGATTTTCCAACAACTTCCTATCCCATCCCACCCCATCCCATTCCACTCCTTCCCATCCCCTTTCACCTCATCGCATCCCATCGTACCACAGGTACCCCTGCCATGACCTCTCGAGTCCTCGTTGAGAAGGATTTCGAGAAGGCGGGCGAGTTTTCCAACAGAGTGCTAAGATGACCGCCCCCTTCAAGCCCACATCCCAGGCTCCACACCCCATTCCCGTCCCCTCCATCCATCAGGCACCCCCGCCATGACCTCCAGAGGCCTTGTTGAGAAGATAAGCAGTCGAGTTCACTTCCAAGGATGTCCCATCCCACCCCATCCCATTCCACTCCTTCCCATCTCATCACATCCCTCACAGGCACTCCCGCCATGACCTCCAGAGGCCTTGTGGAGAAAGACTTTGAGAAGGTGGGCGAGTTTCTGGACAGAGCAGTCAAAATCAGCCTGGACATTCAGAAGGAGAAGGGGAAGCTTCTGCGCGACTTCCTCAAGGACCTGGAGCAGAACAAGGACCTGCAGGCACTGAAGGAGGAGGTGGAGGCGTTCAGTGCTGGGTTTGAAATGCCTGGATTCGATGTTGCGACGATTCAGGTGTAGCGCAGTCACTGTAATGTAACAAGTTGCCAGGAGTGGCGAGATATAGAAATTCAGGTCATGTCGAGCGCTGTGATCGCCGGGTCAGGTCGATGCTATGATCATTCAGTTGTGAATTCTCCAGCCAGACATGTAATGTTTTACTTGTTTCAACCCAACTTACGTTGAACCTTCACTTGAGGACCCAACTTTCAATTTTCATTTCAAGCTACATAGGCTAGCAGAAGTGATAAGCACGTTTAAAATATGGAACATAATAATTACGAGGTACTTCCACTACAAAAATGTGTAACAAACCAAGTTTATCGCCCATGTACACATGAAAATTATCAAAGCATAAGCTTTCTGTGAATGCCAGCATATATGGGTCCAGTGCAGGTTGCCGTGCTGTCCATGAGCTGCTGGTCAGTTTGGGCTGACTGGAGAATGCAGGACACAGGCAGCCCATCCCATATGCTCCAACTGCTGCTGCTGTTTGTGGCGTTTTGCGAACCTGTCTGCCCTGTGCTGCCAGCACTTGTTGGGTGGGAACTAGGCTGTTAGCCACCTGATTCAGAGTTCAGCTCCTGAGGCACAAGGGGTTGCTGATGCGTAAGAGGAGGAGAGAGAGTGGGAGGTAGAGGAGGAGGAGGGAGCACGGCAGGAGAGGGCAGGGCAGGACGGGAAGGTACTGAAGGTTGAACATAAGCAGAAGCTGCCAAAGGGGATTTAAGGGTATTATGGCAGGTTATTCGTGGAGCACTTGGCATGATGGGGTTGCTCATGTTGCTATAGTTGCTGCTGCTGCTGCTCCTGCTACTGGAGACGCTAGTAGAGCGTATAATGGAGAGGGATGAGTCACATGAAGACGAAGAAGTTGAGTCGCCGCTGACAGGAGGACCACAAGTGGGGGTGGTTGTATCGACGTTGGGAATTGGGCAAAATCCTAGCACCCTTAGTTACAATTTCTCTGCAGGTAGTGTTTCGGCATGTAGCTGAACCAGCCATTGGAATGGGAATCGGGGCTGACTTCGGCGATCTCACAGCAGCTGCTTTTGACGCCAACGGCGAATTTGATTGGGAAACCGAAACCGTAGCAGGCAAGAGTGACGAAATGTCCCCCTTTAAGTGGTTCCGATAAGCGTTTGAGTAACCAGCAGTCATGAACCACGGATGGTACAGTATTTCGTGCAGTCGAATTCGCCGAGTTGGATCCGCCTGAAGCATACTTCTCACAAGGTGCTTAGCTTCCGTGGAAATGTGCGACCACGGATGCTTGCTCATATCCGGATTCGCACGACATGCAGCAGCGAAAACCGCGTTATGATTCTTTCCGTAAAACGGAAGAACGCCCGACAGGCAGGTGTACAAAACAACACCCAGGCTCCAAACGTCAACTTCCGCGCCGTATTCCTTTCCGCGCACAATTTCCGGCGCCATGTAAAACGGGCTCCCCGCCAATCCGCGCAGCCGCGGCCGCGCGCGCGTCAGCTGCTGCGACAATCCGAAATCCCCCACGCGCACCTCCGCGGAACATTCCGCAGAAGTTGCGTCGGCGCGAGCGTCGACTGTTGCGCTGGCTAGAGTGGCGGACGCGCAGCAGGCGGAGGGCGCGCGGAGGAGGAAGATATTTTCTGGCTTGAGGTCGCGGTGAACGATTCCGCACGCGTGCATGCGCAGCACGGCGGAGACGACCTGGCGGAATATCCCCGCGGTCTCGCGCTCCGCGAGGCGCTTGTTGCGCGCGACGTGGTCGAAGAGATCCCCTCCCGCGCAGTGCTCCACGATGAGATGCAGCGCGGACTCGTCCTCCGCAACCTCAAATAGGCGCACAAAGCCAGCAGCTTTCGGCGCGCGCTGACCAGATTCTCTCTTCCGCGCCGCCGCCGCCGGCTCCGCTTCCGCCTGCAGCAGCAGCGGAACGAGCACCTCCGCGCGGAGCTCCTTGAGGTCCTCGGGCCGCTGTATCTGGTCCTTGAGAATGGTTTTGCATGCGAACCGCTCTCCCGTGCGCGCATCTGCGCACTCGCGCACCACGCCGAAATGCCCGCGCCCCAGATCCCGCCCAATCTTGTAGCAGTCCTGCAGCCGCGGCGCGCCGGCAGTCCGGCGTCGCCAGCCGTCGGCAGAGAGCGGGATGCCGGCGAGCCGCGTAGTTTCGAGCTCGTGGAAGAGGTCCCTCATGTAAGCCTTAATATCCGCTGCCGAGGCGCCATGGCGAAGCGAGAGACGTCTGGCGGACGGCGGAGTCAGTGTTGTGATACTATTGGAAGTCCACATGGCGTCCATCAGTTCGAACATGAATCTCTCGCTGCGGGTATTGCGCAGCTGGTCTGAGGCCTACTTAGAGCTTTGCAAGTGGCTGGTCCGACGCTGACATTTGACTGCGCCGGTTGGGTCAGTGGTTGATAATTTACAGTCGCCCCCCTGCAGCGCTAGCTGCTAGTACTCCCTGCGTTGATCCTCCCGCGAAATGGTAAATATGCGCTGCGGTAGGTGCGCCTTTGCCAGTGAGTGCGGCAGCGGACCGCTCGTCGTGACGTCGTCGCGTTTCTGGCTGTGGTTTGAGCCTAACTCGGCCTCGGTTCCTCTCTTGACAGTGAAAAAACTGGATGCTGCGAGATATAATCTGCTCCACCTATGTACAGCTGTAGGGAGGGGTCAGTAGGGAGGGTGAGGAGAAGAAAATATTATCCGACGCGTCTTGAATGGAGCCCTGAACGGGTGCGTCAAGGTAAAAACGGGACTCCCCGAGAAGGAAGTGCGGACTACGGTACGGAAGCGACAATCGTCGAACGTCATTACCCAAGTTGGAAAATATGGAGACACCACAGTTATCTCCTCCGCCAGTCCGGAGGCTTCTAGAGTACGTGTGGGGACTGAAAGTCTGGTCGAATCCACATGCGAGTTATCTCGATTCTTGCTTCTGGAGGAGAGTTTGCTTCGACAGCTCCCCAAAGAACGAGGGGAAAACGGGCAGGTTCAGAATTTCCCCTTGCAGGAGTCTTGTTTTGTACTGAAAATGGAGGCTGCTGCTTGACCTGTGGCTGGCTTCAAGATTACCCGTGGTGTTGTTCTGGTTACAGAGTTACAGCAGTTTGGGCAAATCTCAGTACCATGTCCCCGCAACCCGTAAAATATCTCCTCCAGAATGGTGTGGGGATGGTAGCGACAGAAGAAGACAGCAAGACCGCCGATTCCCAGCTTTGCGAGCATCTCGTGCTTTGTGAACTGGGACAAGTGTGAAATTCCATCAGGGTTTCGTGTGGGGGGAATTCTTTTTTGTTTATGGACCCCTGCGATGCGGTGATCATTGCTCTTGAAGGCATTTGACCAGCAAGCTAATCGCAGTGTCGCTCTTGACTTCGCCGAGAGCAAGCGACTCGTTTTCGAGTACTTTGGATGAGATCGTGCGACGAGTTGGCGGCAGGCGACAGTTCTGTTCGTTCCCCTCCTCGAATCGTCGTACAGAAGGGGAACTCTCCGGCTGACATCGACAACGGGCAGATGACAGGGGCTATTTAGGAAATGCGTCGTGAGATTTGGCAGGGAAGCTCCACACTACGATATTTGTGCCAGATTTACAAACTGTGACCAAGTTGGACTCCCTCAAGCAGCTTTTAAATGAAGCATGTTTTGAGGGTACTTTCTCGCTCGTAATACTTGCCCATAAAGCTGCTTCTGAAAATGTGGGAGAATCCACAGAGAAAGTGTCGCGCGGTTTGTCAACATTCGTCGGCCAGATTCAGAGTCTTGTCGCATCAGTGAGGATTGCGATTTGTGCGACCGAAGAGCTCTATCCGCAGAGCCAACCGTCAGACCCTGCGATCCTTCGCAGCATCTGCGAAGGTGCTTCGTCGATACACCTCTGTAAATGCTGCGATTGGTTCGTCGACGTTCACCAGATGTCGGTGGTTCGTGAACGTTACTGTTACATCTGTTCACTTGTACGCCGAATAAATAAATTTCCTATTATAGTACGTTACTAGTTGCAAGATCCCACCATTGTTCACATTTTGCGACTCGGAACTTTCCAAACATCCTTTCCAGACATTCTTTTCCAGACACGTGCTCTCTGCCATCAAGACATTTACTTCACAATCAGCTCATCACTCCCAGATGAGATTCCGCCGCATTTCGCGCTAACAATTACAGAAACCCCCACTGCACTTCCAAATGGCTGCGTGGCACGGCGGAGCTCCCCACGTGCCTGCTGCTCTGCAGCGACAAACCCTGATTCCCTCCTCTGCATGTGGCCGTATCCCTAGTATGTGCACCAGAGCACACTACCGTGCATCTGCGTTTTCCCGAGCCTGCGTCCCAGCAGGAAACCGCATAGCGCGCCTCGAATCGCCTTCTCCGGTCAATGCGCTGAATGCGTCTCGGTTCTACCATGGTAGGACGAGACGACGTTTGCAAGTATTCCGTACCCCAGATGTCGGCCGGCGATTCGAACTACGATCAGAAGACGTCGATTGGTTGTTGACAGCTGGATCGCGTCGGCAGTCGGCGGACGCGATCCGTGCTACCAGCATTGACACGTGTCATGACGCTAGTGACTGCGTGGAGTTGACGGACGAATCGGATTTCCTACAGGCAGCGAGCGAGGATGGCAGGATTTCCATCATCGGTTTCGGATCGCTCCTCTCAGGTAATATATATCCTCTGCAGCTTCCTCGTATCTTCTGCATGTTCAAATCACTGGAGGGGTTCCGCTGGGTGCAACAAGGTGTCACTCATCCTTCTGAACCCCTCCCCATTCCTCTCCACCCCTCACCACATCTCAAATCGACCAAGAGCGCAGTACGCACAGCACGCTTCCGTTACTGTAAGGGCTTCCGCCAGGCCAGGCTGACAAATTTTCGCCCGGTGCAACAAGGGGTCACTCACCCTCCTCCCCATCCCTCCTCACTGTTCCCCACCCCTCCATACCGCTCCCCGTCCCGTTCCACCACTCTTCACCCCTTCCATTTCTTGTCTGCACAAGAGGGCAGTGGCAGTGCACGCAGCACGTTCCCATCCCTGGAGGGGTTTCGCCAGGCCAGGCTGAGAGGGTTCGGCCTTGTGCAAGTGCAACAAGGGGTTCTTCATCCTCCCCCTCAACCCCTCCCCAATCGTCCCTCGTCCCTCACACCTCAACCCCTCCGCATTCGTCTCCACCCCTCACCACCCCTTCTTTATCTACCAAGAGCGCAGTGCGCGCAGCACGTTCCCATCTCTGGAGGGGTTCCGCCAGGCCAGGCTGAGAGGGTTCCGCCGGGTCTTCTGCCACGCTGCGCCAGTGTTCTTTATAAGGGGGATTGCTAATAGCGAGACCAGGGTGAGTGCGTGACATCCCCTGCTCTGGCGATCCCACCTCTCTCCCACCTCTCTCCCACCTCTCTCCCACCTCTCTCCCACCTCTCTCCCACCTCTCTCCCACCTCTCTCCCACCTCTCTCCCACCTCTCTCCCACCTCTCTCCCACCTCTCTCCCACACCTCTCTCCCACCTCTCTCCCACCTCTCTCCCACCTCTCCCCCACCTCTCTCACACCTCTCTCCCACCTCTCCCCCACCTCTCTCACACCTCTCTCCCACCTCTCTCCCACCTTTCTCCCACCTCTCTCCCACCTCTCTCACACATCTCTCCCACCTCTCTCCCACCTCTCTCCCACCTCTCCCACCTCTCTCCCACCTCTCTCCCACCTCTCCCCCACCTCTCTCACACCTCTCTCCCACCTCTCTCCCACCTCTCTCCCACCTCTCTCACACCTCTCTCCCACCTCTCTCCCACCTCTCTCCCACCTCTCTCCCACCTCTCTCCCACCTCTCTCCCACCTCTCTCCCACCTCTCTCCCACCTCTCTCCCACCTCTCTCCCACCTCTCTCCCACCTCTCTCCCACCTCTCTCCCACCTCTCTCCCACCTCTCTCCTACCTCTCTCCCACCTCTCTCCCACCTCTCTCCCACCTCTCTCCCACCTCTCTCCCACCTCTCTCCCACCTCTCTCCCACCTCTCTCCCACCTCTCTCCCACCTCTCTCCCACCTCTCCCACCTCTCTCCCACCTCTCTCCCACCTCTCTCCCACCTCTCTCCCACCTCTCTCCCACCTCTCTCCCACCTCTCTCCCACCTCTCTCCCACCTCTCTCCCACCTCTCTACTGCTTCTTCCCTAATCATCTCGCCTTCCTTTCTCTGCCCACCTCTCCTCCTCTTCCATCTCGCCTTCCTTTCTCTGCCCACCTCTCCTCCTCTTCCATCTCGCCTTCCTTTCTCTGCCCACCTCTCCTCCTCTTCCATCTCGCCTTCCTTTCTCTGCCCACCTCTCCTCCTCTTCCATCTCGCCTTCCTTTCTCTGCCCACCTCTCCTCCTCTTCCATCTCGCCTTCCTTTCTCTGCCCACCTCTCCTCCTCTTCCATCTCGCCTTCCTTTCTCTGCCCACCTCTCCTCCTCTTCCATCTCGCCTTCCTTTCTCTGCCCACCTCTCCTCCTCTTCCATCTCGCCTTCCCTGCTCCGCCCATCTTCCCACCTCTCGTGCTCGCTATGCTCCACACATTGCCCATCTTGAAACATCTGCTGCCTCCACCGCTCCCCACCGCTCCTCACCGCTCCCCACTCCTAGGAGTATTCGAGCCTGAGTGTGGAGCCCTGCGAGGGGGAGGAGATCGTTGTCACACTCTTCTCCATACCCGCTACTGAGGTACTCGTTATAAGCTCAGCTTCAAGAATTTCTATCTTGGGAAAGGAGGAAGTTAGTGGGGGGGCGGAAGGCGAGAGGGTGGGGAGGGGGAGAGGGGGGGGCGGAAGAAGGAGTGGGGAAGTGGGGGAGGCTGAAAAGGAGAGGGAGGGGAGGGAGGTCAATGGGTGAAGAGGAGGGGAGAAGGGGAGGGGTGGTGTGAAGAAGGCTCAAAGCCGAAACTAGTTACCACCATTTTTTCACAAAGGTCTTTAAGCAAGCCTACTACAAGATTTTTTTTAACTAAAACTAAGCTGCTGCAACGCAAAGTCATGCCTCCTAAGTGGGGATCCCAAAGGAGAGGGAGGGGAGGGAGGTCAATGGGTGAAGAGGAGGGGAGAAGGGGAGGGGTGGTGTGGGGCCTACTTGATGCATCGTGTCAGTAACAGAGAGGTGGGCAGCGGATGATGCCTTACTTCCATCAACTCTTGCTGCTTTAGGACTACCAAACGGAGGCGTGGTGTGTGGGGCCTACTTGATGCATCGTGTCAGTAACAGAGAGGTGGGCAGCGGATGATGCCTTACTTCCATCAACTCTTGCTGCTTTAGGACTACCAAACGGAGGCGTGGTGTGTGGGGCCTACTTGATGCATCGTGTCAGTAACAGAGAGGTGGGCAGCGGATGATGCCTTACTTCCATCAACTCTTGCTGCTTTAGGACTACCAAACGGAGGCGTGGTGTGTGGGGCCTACTTGATGCATCGTGTCAGTAACAGAGAGGTGGGCAGCGGATGATGCCTTACTTCCATCAACTCTTGCTGCTTTAGGACTACCAAACGGAGGCGTGGTGTGTGGGGCCTACTTGATGCATCGTGTCCGTAACAGAGAGGTGGGCAGCGGATGATGCCTTACTTCCATCAACTCTTGCTGCTTTAGGACTACCAAACGGAGGCGTGGTGTGTGGGGCCTACTTGATGCATCGTGTCAGTAACAGAGAGGTGGGCAGCGGATGATGCCTTACTTCCATCAACTCTTGCTGCTTTAGGACTACCAAACGGAGGCGTGGTGTGTGGGGCCTACTTGATGCATCGTGTCAGTAACAGAGAGGTGGGCAGCGGATGATGCCTTACTTCCATCAACTCTTGCTGCTTTAGGACTACCAAACGGAGGCGTGGTGTGTGGGGCCTACTTGATGCATCGTGTCAGTAACAGAGAGGTGGGCAGCGGATGATGCCTTACTTCCATCAACTCTTGCTGCTTTAGGACTACCAAACGGAGGCGTGGTGTGTGGGGCCTACTTGATGCATCGTGTCAGTAACAGAGAGGTGGGCAGCGGATGATGCCTTACTTCCATCAACTCTTGCTGCTTTAGGACTACCAAACGGAGGCGTGGTGTGTGGGGCCTACTTGATGCATCGTGTCAGTAACAGAGAGGTGGGCAGCGGATGATGCCTTACTTCCATCAACTCTTGCTGCTTTAGGACTACCAAACGGAGGCGTGGTGTGTGGGGCCTACTTGATGCATCGTGTCAGTAACAGAGAGGTGGGCAGCGGATGATGCCTTACTTCCATCAACTCTTGCTGCTTTAGGACTACCAAACGGAGGCGTGGTGTGTGGGGCCTACTTGATGCATCGTGTCAGTAACAGAGAGGTGGGCAGCGGATGATGCCTTACTTCCATCAACTCTTGCTGCTTTAGGACTACCAAACGGAGGCGTGGTGTGTGGGGCCTACTTGATGCATCGTGTCAGTAACAGAGAGGTGGGCAGCGGATGATGCCTTACTTCCATCAACTCTTGCTGCTTTAGGACTACCAAACGGAGGCGTGGTGTGTGGGGCCTACTTGATGCATCGTGTCAGTAACAGAGAGGTGGGCAGCGGATGATGCCTTACTTCCATCAACTCTTGCTGCTTTAGGACTACCAAACGGAGGCGTGGTGTGTGGGGCCTACTTGATGCATCGTGTCAGTAACAGAGAGGTGGGCAGCGGATGATGCCTTACTTCCATCAACTCTTGCTGCTTTAGGACTACCAAACGGAGGCGTGGTGTGTGGGGCCTACTTGATGCATCGTGTCAGTAACAGAGAGGTGGGCAGCGGATGATGCCTTACTTCCATCAACTCTTGCTGCTTTAGGACTACCAAACGGAGGCGTGGTGTGTGGGGCCTACTTGATGCATCGTGTCAGTAACAGAGAGGTGGGCAGCGGATGATGCCTTACTTCCATCAACTCTTGCTGCTTTAGGACTACCAAACGGAGGCGTGGTGTGTGGGGCCTACTTGATGCATCGTGTCAGTAACAGAGAGGTGGGCAGCGGATGATGCCTTACTTCCATCAACTCTTGCTGCTTTAGGACTACCAAACGGAGGCGTGGTGTGTGGGGCCTACTTGATGCATCGTGTCAGTAACAGAGAGGTGGGCAGCGGATGATGCCTTACTTCCATCAACTCTTGCTGCTTTAGGACTACCAAACGGAGGCGTGGTGTGTGGGGCCTACTTGATGCATCGTGTCAGTAACAGAGAGGTGGGCAGCGGATGATGCCTTACTTCCATCAACTCTTGCTGCTTTAGGACTACCAAACGGAGGCGTGGTGTGTGGGGCCTACTTGATGCATCGTGTCAGTAACAGAGAGGTGGGCAGCGGATGATGCCTTACTTCCATCAACTCTTGCTGCTTTAGGACTACCAAACGGAGGCGTGGTGTGTGGGGCCTACTTGATGCATCGTGTCAGTAACAGAGAGGTGGGCAGCGGATGATGCCTTACTTCCATCAACTCTTGCTGCTTTAGGACTACCAAACGGAGGCGTGGTGTGTGGGGCCTACTTGATGCATCGTGTCAGTAACAGAGAGGTGGGCAGCGGATGATGCCTTACTTCCATCAACTCTTGCTGCTTTAGGACTACCAAACGGAGGCGTGGTGTGTGGGGCCTACTTGATGCATCGTGTCAGTAACAGAGAGGTGGGCAGCGGATGATGCCTTACTTCCATCAACTCTTGCTGCTTTAGGACTACCAAACGGAGGCGTGGTGTGTGGGGCCTACTTGATGCATCGTGTCAGTAACAGAGAGGTGGGCAGCGGATGATGCCTTACTTCCATCAACTCTTGCTGCTTTAGGACTACCAAACGGAGGCGTGGTGTGTGGGGCCTACTTGATGCATCGTGTCAGTAACAGAGAGGTGGGCAGCGGATGATGCCTTACTTCCATCAACTCTTGCTGCTTTAGGACTACCAAACGGAGGCGTGGTGTGTGGGGCCTACTTGATGCATCGTGTCAGTAACAGAGAGGTGGGCAGCGGATGATGCCTTACTTCCATCAACTCTTGCTGCTTTAGGACTACCAAACGGAGGCGTGGTGTGTGGGGCCTACTTGATGCATTGCTAATCGTACCTGCTGCTACCTGAGCAATGCACCTGCATACCTGTATGCATGCATGCTATTCTGAACTACCTGCATACCTGCTTGTGAGTTAGCTACTGCCATCCAATAATTTTCCCGCGGCATGGGGATGTGGGATGGTGACGTGTCATTGTGGCATGGCATGGTGACGTGGCAGGTGCCTGCATTCATGGAACGAGAGCATGAGTTCCGGTTCCTTCTTGTAAGCTTTCTCCCTCCCTTCGTCCCTCCCTCCCTTCATCCCTCCCTCCCTTCGCCCTTCCCTCCCTTCATCCCTCCCTTCCTCCATCCGCCCTTGATGCTCCTCCTGTGGTGCCTGTGTGTCCCTCTCACACCTTATGCCCCTCACTGCCCCTTGTCTTACTGTCACACCCTTTCACTCCCTTGCTCTTATGCCACTACTACCCACACCAATTTCATCCTAGTCCTTCCACGCCCACTTCTCTTCACTCCCTTTCTTTCCTTCCAATCTACGCTACTCAGGTTCCTCCCAGCAAATTATCACCACTAGCAGCATCACCAGGCTCAGCAGCAGCAGAATCAGCGTCACTAGCACACAAATTAACACCCGGCGCAGTGAGTAAGCATGGATTGGGCTTTAAGCATTTTCAAAAGCCATCGCTAGCACCACTGGACTTGTCGGCACCAGAATCAATAAGCTGCACATCAGGTAACATCAATAAGCTGCACCAGAACATCAATAAGCTGCACCAGAACATCAATAAGCTGCACCAGAACATCAATAAGCTGCACATCAGGTAACATCAATAAGCTGCACATCAGGTAACATCAATAAGCTGCACCAGAACATCAATAAGCTGCACCAGAACATCAATAAGCTGCACCAGAACATCAATAAGCTGCACATCAGGTAACATCAATAAGCTGCACTAGAACATCAACACGGCATAGACTGTCACACAGCATCGACAGCACATCAACTGTCACACGGCAATGCCCATGCATCAACTGTCAGTGATCATGCTCTTGTGAACCACCCATGTGAACCGGCATCAGCGTACATACTTTTATCGCATTTATCCCTGCTCACCAAGAATGCAATTAAGTTTACCTTGAAAATCGAGCCTCGATTTATCCCTCTGCATCCCACCCGTCTCTTTCCTCAGGTCATCTGCAGCCGCTACAGCAATCAAGAGTACCTTCAAATGCCTCGGTTTCCCCCTCCAATTCTCTCTGAGATGACTTTTGAGTCGACTCAAAAGTCACCCGGTCCCCCCCCCAACTCTCTCTGCAACCCATCCCTCTCTATCTCACTCCCTCTCTCTCCCTCTCTATCGCTCTTTCCTCAGGTCATCTGCAGTCGCTACAGCGATCAAGAGTACCTTCAAATCCGTCTCAAAGGTGTGCTCTCTTCTCCTTGTCACGGAATGATCCGTCATTTTCTGTCTCCCTGTAAGGGTCTTTTCCTTTTCACATGGCATTGCTCCTCCCTCTCCCCTTTCCTTCCTCCTTTCCTCCCTCCTCTCCTCGCGGAAATTTCCTCCATTTTCCTTCTCCCAGTAATGAAATCCTTCACATGGCATTGCTCCTTCCTCTCCTCCCCATTCCTCCCCTCTCCTCCCTCCTCACCTCACTTTCTTTCCTCCCTCCTCTCCTCCCCCCTTCCAGGCGACACAGAGGAGTATGAGCGGCAGTACGGCCGGTGGGGCGTGGAGAGGGTGTGGGACGACTCATTACTTCCATGCCGCGTGTACCTGCGACACTGGTGAGATAAGAAGTTACCATGTTACCATGTTACGATGCAATACAGCACGTCTACCAATGCTGCACTGCAGTATGGCCGGTGGGGCGTGGAGAGGGTGTGGGACGACTCGTTACTGCCATGCCGCGTGTACCTGCGGCACTGGTGAGATATCCCGTTACTGTGTTACCATGCGGCACAGCAGATCTATCTATGCTGAGCTGCAGTACGGCAGGTGGGCTTTTGAGACGTCTCAAAAATCATGTTACTGTGTTACCATGCGGCACAGCATATCTATCGATGCTGTGCTGCAGTACGGCAGGTGGGCCATGCAGAAGGTGCGAGATAACGCACTTGGGATGAGAGGTTTATTCCATAGCGCTGAATTGAATCATCTTCACTGCGTGTGTTGCAACTTGCAAGATGGATGTCCAATCTCTTGTTCCTTCCTTTCCCTCTTCTTCCCTCCTCTTCTTGTGTGTGCTGGCGGCTCAAGGGCTGGCAGCGGATGCTCTTGCAAGATTCCCACACCACTTGTTCTTGCTAGCCGACTCCCGAGCTGCTAATCACCGGCGCCTGCTGCATTCTGCATTCTGCTGCATTCTGCATTCTGCTGCATTCTGCATTCTGCTGCATTCTGCATTCTGCTGCATTCTGCATTCTGCTGCATTCTGCATTCTGCTGCATTCTGCATTCTGTTGCATTCTGCATTCTGCTGCATTCTGCATTCTGTTGCATTCTGCATTCTGTTGCATGTGTGTGTCTTTGCCTCTCCCCCCTGCTGCAGTGTGCTGGCAGCGCAAGGGCTAGGAGAAGAGGCTCTTGCAAGTTTCCTGGACCATACGTTTCTGGCCGACCGCCGGACCACCATTCGCCAGTACCTGCTTCTGCATCCAAACATCATGTCCGAGCTTCCTCCGCCGAGCCTGGCAGATAGGTATGGTGGCTGAGGCTGACATACAGAGACGACGGGGTGCGCGCCTCCCTCATGTGATTTAATTCCATTTTTCTTGTTATGACCGAAAGCGCATATTTAAAAATAAGGTACTTTGTTCTGAACTTATTCAGGGCATGCAATGCAACTGCTAAAATACAATTTAGTTGTTTTGCCAGATTTCGCATGTTTTTTCATTTCAGCAAGAGCAAATGATTCCAGTAGACTCTGATATTCAATCGGTTGTTATTCAGAGTCTCCTGGGTGGAATCTGGGAGTGAGCCCTCTCTCTAATACGGTTGGCTCTGATCGTTTTGGAGAAGACTGGATGGTCAAGATGGTACAGGAAATAGTTTTAGATCAAATCGAATCGCACACAAGTGAAGCTGGGGTGTAAGATTCTACATCTTGTTTTCAGGGACCTTGAGACTTGCAGTAACCAACCACCATCAGCACATACACGCACTACACAGAAAAATAATCACACGCCACCATTATTGTGCATTGAGGATTTTGCGGGGCGAGATATGCAAGTTGCAACAGAGGCATGACATGACATGGGCATTGGGCAGACCACAATGAGACAATATCATCCCATAACATGCCTTGATATGGAATGACATGACATGAGATGGTGCTACGGTATGACAATGACACACCAACACAGCCCTACACAGTCCAGGGTGATATGCACAATGCACAGAACACGGTGACACACACACACACAGACATAGGCAACTGTACACAGGGCAAGGTGACACGGCTCAACGTGGTATGACATTAATCAGGCCACGTGTCATGAGGTCACACACCGCGCGCACGCACGCACGCACGCACACACACACACACGATGGCACTGAACACAGCACGAGGTGACGCAGGACTACTTGCCATGCCATTGAAAGGAATTCAGGGTGATTATGAACAATGCACAGAGCAAATAGCCTGGGGATAGACACACAGAGACAATGGCACAGACACGGTGAGATGGGACGTGGTATGACATTAAACAGACTCCAGCGGTGACACGGACGCTGTCATGTCATAAACCCTGTGCACAGGGCACATGGTATTGGGTGACACGCACACTGTGGCACCGCACACAGGATGAGGTAAGATGGAACAACGTGGTATCACATTACACAGACTCCAGGGGTGACATGGACAATACACAGGGCACATGGCATTGGGTGACACGCACACTGTGGCACCGCACACAGGATGAGGTGAGATGGGACAACATGGTATGGCATTGAGAGTTGAGGGTGTATAGACACTTTACAGAAGACAAGGCATGGGCACACGCACCGTGCATGGTGCACATAACACATGGGATATGCATCACGTGCACTTGCTCACATGCACACACATGCACTCGCTCACACGCACACACATGCACTCGCTCACATGCACACACATGCACTCGCTCACATGCACACACATGCACTCGCTCACATGCACACACATGCACTCGCTCACACGCACACACATGCACTCGCTCACATGCACACACATGCACTCGCTCACATGCACACATGCAGCAAGACACACACATGGTCACACAAATGTGAATATCTTGGCACGCATACAGGCACAATGGCACGAAATGCGAGTCCACACGTGCATACATGCCTTCCCGCATTTAAGCACACATGCTTGCACGCGCATACACATACAAGCACACGGACACAAGAATGCAAATACACCCAAGCATGGACTGACAAGTGAACACATGCGAGCATGAAGTGACATGTCAGTTCAATTGTGTTCATGCATCCGCATCCCAATCCCGCATAATGCAATTCGCACCGAAAGGAGAAACACAATCATAATCCAGCTTGAGTCATCAGGTTATTTCAGCTTTATTGAGTTAACGGATGTTAAAACTGGCTGTACCCGGAGTGGCATTACACAGCAAAAATCTCAGGAATCAGTAAAGCATGAAAGGAGAAAAGGGGAAGCGACAGCGAAAAGGAGGAGGAGAAAGCAATCCGTACAGGCGTACCCTGTATTGAGAAACCGTTTTCTGCATAAGCGTCACCGTATCGCCAAAAAAACTCACCAAACGTCGTCAAGATTCAATCTGACCTCCCAACATCAAATCCTCGACTTTCCGCACAGCTGCTCTGTCGAAACCCAACTGCTGCATCTGCGCAACTACCAGTGGAATAAAATATCCCTTGTTCTTCTCGGCTCTTCACGTGTCGCATCACAGCTACTATTGAATCAGCCACCAATCGCCAGATGTTACAAAGAAGTTACGTTATTCGCACATGCTTCTGCTTCGAGTTCCGCTGTCCACGCCTTACGTTACACGAGTACTGCTGCCGCGTGCTACGACCACCGCTGCTGCCTGCTGCACAATTACCGCTGCTGCATGTTAGGTCACGGTTCCGGGTGAAGTTCGCCCGCCATCAGCCCAAAATGGCCCTCAGTGACGTGTAAAAACACCCGAACATTGGTCACTACACAAGGTTCCAGATATCTTGGAGCATGGAAGCCAATCAGACGTGTCCGTTGCTACAGTATTGTCCCTACTTCGGATGGCGGGCGAACTTCAGAACCGTGATGTCAAACAAATAATGGCTGGTGCCGGTACGCACCACCACGCTCCCCGCTATCATTCTCTCCGCTGCTCGTTACAACCCCCGACCTCCTTCGGCGAAAGCTCCGTGGGCGTTACGTCTGGGCTGGAGAGCCTCGCGCTGTTACTGTCCCCGTCACTGTTCCCAGTCCCGTTCCCGTTCCCGCTCCCGTTACCGTTAACGTTAACGTTACTGCTGCTCGCGACGCCACCACCCCTGCCTGCCACGCCCTCCACGCTCTCTACGCTCCAATCGTTCACCGTCGATGCGACCAGCTCCTCTAACGCGCTCGAAAGAACCTTCGCCTCGCATCGCAGATTCGCCCACTGCTGCGACCGCCGCGCGAGCTCGCGATTCGGCACGTGCACGCCGCTTGCGGAGTACCCGGGCCGCGCGCGATGCGGGGAGCTGTGAGACGACCCGGCCGGCGACTGAGAAAGATCCGGCGTGCGCGGGGATCGCGGCGGCAAACGCGGGGAGCTGAGGGACGGACTACCGATTGGGTAGCCGTCGCCGGTTCGGCAGCGCGGATAGGCTCCCATCATCGCTGCTGCTGCTGACGATGGACTCGGTTGACCCGGTTGACCGGCTTGCCCCGCTAGTTGTCCCGTCGATTGACCAGATTGACCGAGTGGACGAGCTAGTTGCTGCTGCTGCTGATGCTGCTGGAGCGAAAGCAATTGCGCGAGGGCTCGCGCTTCGTCCTCAGACCCGGTTCGGCGGAACCAGAGGCGCGAGGGGGAGTCCTCCGCCGCCACGCGCACATGAAGATCCCCGCGCGGGGCTTTGGCGGGGGACGGGGAAGTCTCCGGGGAAACACGCGCTTGGATATCCCCGCGCGGGGCTTTGCAGGGGGAAGCGTCCCCCGGAAGGTGGGGATGAAGGCCCGGGCGCGCGGCTCTAGAAGGAGAAGCGTCCCCACCCACCCGCAACTGAAGGTCGCGGGGGGCGCGGGAAGGAGGGGAGATAGCGTCCCCCAGCTTGGATTGCGGGGAGACCGGAGGGGCAGCTTGCGGCGAAATATGAGGCGCCTCAAATCGGGATTTGGCGTCACCCAGATTGAAATGAGGCGAGATCGCTGCCGACGCGGTCTCCAGCTGCGTGTGCATGGGTTACCGAGTTTCGTGCAAAACTAGTTGCCAAACAAAGGAAAAAATTATGTAACTCGTGCAAAACGACGCCCGGAACGAGATACCGGCCTTCGCGCGGACAGATAGCGAGGATATGCGAACGTAGTCGGTTACCCTGTGACCTAATCACTAACGTGATAAATGCCACTAATAGTCGTAAAACAAAGTTTTTGGTGCGCTCAGAGTCGGAATTTTTATTCTGCAAGCCGAGTCTAACGAACAACGAACGACAGGCGTAAGGATGCTGGAATTTGTAGTAGACTCTAGACGGCTTTATTTGTAAGGCCGTGTCCTGTCACATCACATAAAGACCAGTGAGGAACTCTTCATACGGGTCCACTCCGCGCTGCACAGTACTAAGGTGGCTCCTCCAGCGACAAGTCTAGAGATCGCAGAAAGCAGAGCCACCAATCACGTCCCGTCTTTGAGGGGTGGGGGGAAGGAGGTGTTTGCTCCAACCTCCAAGAACCAATCCCAAGAGCAGTCCAGCGCATTTTGGCTCCGCCGCTCTCCCGCCTTTTCGCTCCCTCCCCTTCCCTCCCCCCTCCCCCGCTTTGTTTGCGCGCTGATTCTGAACGGCGCGTTGCTGTTGCTGACGGACACGTCTCGAGTCGGCGCAGGGCTGAACACCAACAGCATGTGCGCACGCATGCTCTCATCATCACATCGGAGCGGAAACCAAGGTTTGGTGAAATCGGACGGTTCACAACGGGTTCGTTTGTTTGAGGGTGGCGGTGATTTACGTCGACAAGTTGGCCGTAAAGGTGATGTGCCACGTGACAAGACAGACAAAGCCAGGCAGAGAACCGTAACGACGATGAGCGGACGCGGGGAAGGAAGTAGGGGAAAGGGTAATTCCAAAAGGTCCCCCACCCACATCGAGATGGTGTCCTTCGCTTGTGTAGCTAGTCCATATTTTCATTAGATGCGGGATAATATGAATATGCATCTGCGTACTGAAAATACGAAAATGGAAATATTTTCGTGGCTTTGGGTGTCGAGTACCACAACTCGGGTGTGGACATATTCAGTAAGAGTCATAACTTATCGATATTTATCAACATCTGACAAGGGCTGGAGCAACTCAGTCCGTTCCCAGAGGTATGTCTCAATCGGCTAAAAGGTCTAGAAGGTAGGGTGTCATCTGGTTAGGTTAGGACCAAGTCTAATTAAGGTGGCAGAGGGCTGTCACGGAAAACGCTCACCCACGTCCCGTTTGGCCATGCGTGATACACCACACATGGCCCATGCCTCGAGGGACCAAATGCTGCAATACGCGTGTCAACGAAGCGCATTCAAGGGGCGTTTTTATTCGAGATCTGGCAATGTGCTCGCTTCGCCACAACGAATCTACAGTGACTGCAAACACAAACACGCACTTCGTCTGAAAAAATAATTATTACAGCACAGAAATGCGGTCATTCCTCCCACTGGGGATGGACTCGTTGAAACACAGTGCTGTCACCTAGTTTATACTGAAGTATACAAGTACACGAGCACATCTGTGTTTATATAACTTCTGCAAAGTAATTCTTGCATAAAACCCAAATCCAAGCTCATAAAATCCAAGTCCAAGCACCAACGAAATATTTGTACGACCGAGAACGTTTCCTGAGGCACAATTACAGACAATGCTCATGCCAGTAATCCTACAAGCATCAGCGAACTCACTAAATCACCTACAATACAACATATTGGTTCAATGAAGTAGTGGCTTTACGCAGCAATGGGCAACTCTTGGCCGTTGAAGGCGGAGTAGCGGCAGTCAGTGGCGGTGACAGCGCTGGTCTCATAGTCCTTCACCTGCCCGTCCAGGAAGCCCTTACCCTCCGCGCCATCGGCGGACACGGGGTGGTGCAGCATTGCAGCGAGCCGAGAGAACTCCACCGTGCGCGCCTCCCTGCCGCTGCGGTACGTCTGCCCCATCACGCCGTGCACGCTGCTGCTAGCGCTCGCGTCAGTAAACATCACGTTGATATGCACCTGCGCGTCGTCAGGTGTCCGTAGCAGAGGGTGCGCGGGGCGCAGCTTCAGGTCCAACTCCAGGAGCCCGTCGATGCGCAGGTAGTAGTGGTCCACGTCGTACGGACCGGTCTTCTCCTCTCCCACGAACTCAAGCGACACCTTGCCGCCGGCGAGGCTGCGGGTCTCACCGGGAGCGAGGTGGGGGAGGGGCGTGCCGTCGATCTCGGCGGACGCCAGGAAGCCGGCTTCGCCGCGGAGCTGCTCCTTGCCGTCGCGCGCCGTCAGCACCAGCGAGTGGGCGGCGGGCTTAGCGGACACAGTGTTGTCGCTGTCGGCGCTGTCGTCGGTCCACATGACGGCTAGCTGGCGGATCCAGGTGCGCACGGCGGAGCCGTTGACGACGAGGGCGGCGTTCTGCGTGGAGCGCGAGTCGAGGTACCCGCGCATGCCCATGTTCACGTGCACCGCGCGGTCCGTGTACAGGCAGAAGTTCTTCTCGGGCAGCCCGTTGAAGTCGAACCGCGTGCCCTGCGCGCCCGTGAAGTGGGGGTCGTTCTCGGCGGCGGCGCAGTTCTTGCCGATGCGCACCTTCTTGCCGCCGCAGCCCTTCTTGTCGCTCTTAGTGGGCATGAGGGAATCGAGGTTCGGCAGAAGGAGGCACTTGCCGCAGTCCTTGCCGTTGCACTTGCCCTCGCTGGGCGACGATCTGCAATTGCGACGAAACAGAGCGACGAACAGAGAGACAGCCGAGCGACAGGACAAGGGAGCAGCGATTAGGAAGCCAGATCAAGAGGAATTGGGTATACTAGAGGGCGAGCGACGAATTAACAGCCACATCGACAGGTTACGACGGTGGATCAAAAGACACGGCGGGGGCGTACGAATGGCGTGACTCAACGAACAAAGACGTGTACAGCAGGGTTAGGAATGCCGCGACTGCTTGATACTTACGGGATATGCACCCAGTATTTGCAGACGTAGGCCTTCCCGTCGAGGGTGGTGCCGGGGTTCTTGCAGCGATCGCAGCAGTCCTTGGCGTTCACCGCGCCGGCCGCGCACCACGGGGCGGTGTCCCTAGTGGCCTTCGACATGCACTCCTTGTACTCAGGGACCTGCGTGGAAGGAGCGAAGGGAAAGAGGATATCGAGAGTAAGCAGGGGAACGATAACAACCATATGTCCATACATGGTCTTCCGACAAATTAGCAAAACTTATGACATTGCACCATGACGTACCTTCCAGTAGTCGAAGGAGCCCTTCTCGTAGTCGCAGCCATCGACGCACAGGTGGCCTCTTTTCTTCGCCTGCCCCGGCGCACTACCCGATTTACCCGGCGCGGTACCCGAGTTACCCTTTCCATTGCCGTTGCCGCCTGCGTCTACAACAGACGCTGCAGCGAGGAGGACGAGAAGACTAACGGCGATATAGCGAGCCATGGTGAAAATTTCAACTCTATTGTTGGTTCAAGGTGAAGACTTGCTTGGATGATGATGAAACGCTGCGGCTTGACCTAACAGTTCGGAAGAAAGCTTGATGATATACTGATGATGACAACACAGAGATTTGGGCAGGGGAATTGGTGTGAGGGGCTTGGTTTGGAACTGGGGCGGGTGTGTGTGTGGAGGTAAGGGAGAGGGAAACGCCGGCGCTTCGGGCACATGTGCAGCAGCACACCCTGGAAACAACCTGGCGGGCTCCTGCACTTTTCCTCCCTGAGAGGGTTACGGTTTGGCGCCTTTTCCTCGAGATTCTTCGCTCCTCTCTGCAGCGACGGTGACGGTCAGGCGATACTTACGATGCGCAGATAGTTACCAGCAGTAACTGGAATATCACCTGCTGGCTATTTTCGGTAAAATCTCTTACTTCATCAGCCCGCTGCCAACGGAATTTGATGCCCTCGGGAAAGCCCTCAAGGAAAGTTTCTCTCCCCGTCACCTCAGGACTGGGAGAGAAGTGACTTTTGCCATTTCTACTTTAATGTTTTGCAGCTGAAGTCTCAAATTCACATCCTATTTCCAGGAGTTATTCCCACCCCATGTCAGGGGAATCATCTATATGATATCTATAGGTTCGGGGTAATTTAACCGTTCGCGACGAAAAAATACTTCTTTGCTCGCGACTCGGTCAAGGCGGAACAGTGTCTGCTGGAATGCACCTGGAACATCAACATGGAAATTGTCCGTCACCTGTCGCCTCAGCGGTTCCACTCTTCCCTTACCAATACAGTTTTGTGTGCATCGTTACAAAGACGATGGGAGGTATAGAATAGTAATAGAGCGGCTTAGTATATCTGGCTATTCATTTGATAAGGTGAATTAGTTGAAGTCATTGGTTAGGAACCGGCATGTTGATTCAAGACTAAAAACTTATTTTCTAAGCCACCAGAATCAGTTTCCAGTCTATTCTTGCAGATACAGTGTGCCTGATTTTGGCATGGCTTCACAGTTTCATGGAACACAATGTTTTTTGTCAATGTCAATACAATAAATGATGTTGGTGTCAAAATTTATGTTTATTAAGTTGTTTAGGCTACATAGGGGCTAGCCTTAGGGGGTACAGTTTTTGCCCCATCCTAGACCTAATCACCTACCTTTTCTCCTAACTCTCTCAACATGGTATAGAGCAGGTCCTTCTTAGGACCGTTGGCCCACCAGTTAGGTTTTATTTGTCTGCCCGAATTTTCTGCCCTGCCCAGAGCTTTCGCGCTGCCTTGCTCTGCCCTGCCGCGCGCAGCCCGTACAGCCCACGTACAGCCCACGCGCAGCCAGTACAGCCCGCGCGCCGCCCGCGCGTGCTGCCCCTATAGCCCGCATGCAGCCCGTGCAGCCCGCGCCAGGCCCGCGCGCAGCCCGTACGACCCGCACAAGGCCCGCGCGCGGCCCGTACAGCCCGCGCCAGGCCACCTGCTCTGCCGCGCGCGCACCTGCACTGCCCCTTCTGCCGCCTGTGCTACTGTTTCTGCACTGCTCTTGCTGCTAAGCCACTGCTACTGTCCTGCTGCTCTGCTGCCCTGCTGCTCCTGCCCGCGCGCCGCCTATGCTGCCCGAGAACCGCCAGTCTGCAGCCCTTGCGGCCCGCGCCCTGCCATTGCCGCCCGCGCGCCGCCTCTGCCTGCCAGCGCGCGGCCTCTACTGCCTGCGCGCTGCCTCTGCTGCCCGCGCGCCGTCACTGCCTGCCCGTGCGCCGCGCTGCAGCCATGGCTACGTTCAACGTCCTCTCGTTCAACCCTGACGGCCGCCCGATAGAGTTCCCCACGTGGCTCGATGGCCTACAACTGTTCCTTATGACTGACGCTAAAGACGGCGTTTCCTTATTTGACCATGCGTCTGGCTCCTCATCCGCTCCTCCTGACACAGCTGACAGCCTCTCTCGTTCACAGTGGCAGACCCGTGACGCAGCTGCTCGCCTAGCTATTCGCAACCATCTGCCGTTAGCTGAACGTGCTCACTTCGGCCAGCACAAGACCGCTAAGGACCTGTACACTGCTTTAGTCGCTCGCTACTCTTCCCCTGCCACTGCTGCTCTCAGCCGCCTTATCCTGCCCTACCTGTTCCCAGAGCTGTCCTCCTTTGCCACAGTTGAGGACCTCATCTCCCACCTTCACGCTAGTGACGTTCGCTACCGTGCCGCTCTCTCAGCCGAGTTCTTAGCCGCGAACCCGCCCCCGATGTACATCACGCTCTACTTCCTAGTCACCCGCCTCCCTGACTCTCTTCGTACGGTCAGGGACCACTTTCTCGCTCTTGACCCTACCGCCCTCACTGTCGACGACTTCGAAAAGCACCTGCTTGCAGCAGAGAAGAGCATTGTCGCTGTAGGTGCTGCTCGTGACACTCCTCGCACTCCCCTCTTTGAGGGGTGTTCCCCCTCCTACACTTCTGCTGCTGCTGTTGACCTCCTTGGTGCTGAGGAAGTCGGCGCTGCTTCTGCTCCTAGTGGGAGGCGCCGCAGCGGCAAGGGCAAGGGAGGCAGGAATGGTGGAGGTGGCGGCGGGGGGGGGGGGGGGGGCGGTGGTGGAGGCGACGGGGGTGGTGGAGGTGGCGGAGGTGGCGGTGGGAGTAGTGGCGGGATTGGAGGCGTCGGTGGCGGCGGTAGCGGTAGCAGTGGGAGTGGAGGTGGCGGAGGCGGCGGCAGTGGGAGTGGTGGCGGTGGAGGCGGCAGCGGCGGTGGTGGCGGCAGTGGGAGCGGTGGCGGCGGCAGTGGGAGCGGTGGCGGCGGCAGTGGTGGCGGTCGGGGTGGAGCCTTTCAGAGGGGAGGCTCTGGTGGTGGTCAGAGGCAGCAGCAGCAGCAGCGTCCACGCGAGACCCTTACGCCCCAGCAGCTTCGTGAATGGTATGCTCAGCGTGGGGCGTCTGAGGGTGCTGTTCGCTGCCCGTATGTCATTCGCACCGGTCCCCGCACTGGACAGCCATGCGGGAAGTTTCACACCGAGTACCGCTGCTTCTCCCATCTTGATGATGCCTGGCGCACACGGTTTCCTGATGCACATGAGCTCCCCTGCTAGGCAGACCTGCTTAAGCGCGATGTTGATATCTTTGCTCTAGACTATGATGCTATTCTTGCTGCCATGTATGCATTGTCTGTTAGTGCTGAGGGTGACTATTACCTGTGTATGCCGCCCGACCCAGGTATAGAGGCCGCTGCTCTAGGTGCTAGTGAGTCTGTTCTCTCTGGTACTGCGCCTGCTGAGGCCTTGCACACTTTAACGCTTGACTCAGGTGCTTCTCGATGCTTCTTTCGCGACAGTACCACAGTCACACCACTCCATGCACCTGTTGCAGTCTCTCTGGCTGACCCCTCATGGGGCCCAGTTCTTGCTCGTTCCACCACTGTTCTCCCGTGTCTGGCGGTTCCGTCAGGCTCGCTGTCAGGTCTTCACCTCCCCTCGTTCTCGACAAACTTGGTGAGCAACGCCGTCCTCCAGGATGCATGGGTTGATACCTTTACACCTGGAGGGCAGCGTGTGGCGATCTGTACGTGCTCCCGGACTGGCCGTCACCTGGCCACGTTCACCCGTCGGCCAGGGTCGAGTCCGTACACAGTGACTACTGAGCCTCCTCAGGTAGCTGCGTCTGGTCAGGTGTCCGCGTCGAGTCAGGTAGCCGCCCCTTGCTTGTGCCGCCACCTCTCGCACCAGACTTTCCTGTGGCACCACCGCCTTGGTCACCCCTCCCTACCACGCCTCCGTGGCATGCACTCCCGTCTCCTTGTCTCTGGTCTTCCCAGGTCTCTGCCCCCCCTCCCACGCTCGCCTTCCCCGCCCTGTCTTCCCTGTATCGAGGGGCGGCAGTGCGCTGCTCCTCACTCCTCCTCGTTCCCTCCGACAGAGGCTCCCCTGCACACTCTCCACATGGATGTGTGGGGCCCAGCCCGCGTCCAGGGACAGGGCCGCGAGTGGTATTTTCTGCTGGTTGTCGACGACTAGACGCGCTACACCACGGTCTTCCCCTTGCGCAGCAAGGGGGAGGTCCCTGATGTCTTGATCCCTTGGATCCGCGCTGTCCGTCTCCAGCTCCGCGAGCGGTTCCACCAGAACCTTCCTGTCCTGCGTCTGCACTCTGACAGAGGTGGTGAGTTCTCCTCCGACCTCTTGCTGGAATTCTGTCAGGAGAAGGGCATCACCCAGTCGTTCACGCTTCCGGCCTCTCCGCAGCAGAATGGGGTTGCTGAGCGCCGCATTGGCTTAGTCATGGAGGTCGCTCCATGATCCATGCGGCTGCCACCCATTTTCTGTGGCCGTTTGCAGTCCGCAACCTCTGGCCCCCGTGTCTCCTTGCCGGAGACCTCGCCCACACTGCGTTGGACGGGGAAGGTTGGCGATGCGTCGGTGTTCTGGGTCTGGGGTTCTCGTGCCTTTGTCCGCGATACCTCCGCGGACAAGCTCTCCGCCCGTGCCGTTCCCTGTGTCTTCCTTGGTTTTCCCCTTGACGCGCCTGGCTGGCAGTTTTACCACCCCACCTCGAGCCGTGTTCTGTCCTCTCAGGACGTCACGTTTGACGAGTCGGTTCCCATATACCATCTCTTCCCCTACCGCACTGCCCCTCCCCCTCCCCCGCCGCTCTTCCTTGCTCCTGGTCCCCCTCCGGTAGACCCCCTCCCCCCTCAGGGTCCTGCTCCTTCAGGTGTGTCTCAGGTAGATCCACTCCCCTTGGTAGAGCCTGTCGAGGTCATTGGTGACTCTGGTGCTGCTGGGGGTGCTGAGCCTGTGCGCGAGGAGCCTGGGGGTGCTGAGCCTGGGGGTGCCGAGCCTGTGCGGGTGGAGCCTGGGGGTGCTGAGCCTGAGCGTGTGGAGCCTGGGGGTGCGGAGCCTGCGTGTGCGGAGCCTGAGGGTGCTGAGCCTGCGGGTGCGGAGCCTGGAGTTGCTGAGGCTGGAGGTGCTGGAGGTACTACTAGTTCTAGAGGTGCTCGTACTGGAGGTACTGGAGCTGCCGGAGCT